TTTTCAAAAAGAAATCATAACCAGATCACGACGATAGCTAACCACAAATATATTTTATTGTTTGTATGGCAGTTTCTTCAGATTGCTTTGTCAATCTGTCAAAAAATTTCCCAAGTGACTCTTTGAGTCACAACATCGGAAAAGATGTTTTGCAGTGTTTGAGAATATCTTGAAAAGTGTAAAATTCTGGCCTTGCTTTATTTATGTCAATCTTATTACAGGTTTCATTATCGGTACACAGTCAGCCCATTAATAACCGTCGTTAATGAACTACACGTAGTTAGTTGTTTAGGATGTTGCCCCTTTTATAGAATGACAAAGTACTTACAAAGTTTGTAACATGCAGAGTGATGAAGGGGTAACACCCCTTTAATATCAATTCTAGTACCTCCCGAGATGTAGTTGTGCTGATTTCTGCCCACTGGTATACATGTACCTGGTGTTTTGCCTACAGTGTTTTGGAAGGAGTGTGATTGTAGAAGTCTCTTTTATCAACACGGCAGGAGTAAGGCCTGTACTGCAAGTAGTTATAGGTACCTAGTTGAAGGCGTAAATGATCCTGGAAGGGTCAGATTTGAGTGTAAACCCTGGTCCTGGAATTTGGAAAACTCGCTCCCCATTGTCATCAATTCACATTTCTGCATCTGCAGGTGACAGTCCCTCCTTGTTTATCAGCGGGTAGATTATTGTCCTCTAACTTGATGAACATTGATGCATCCACCATTTTACACATACATGTCACTTTGGTTAGCAGTCCCTTTTTAGCAGGATACTTGCGTTGTCTTCTTTTCTTGGCATCCAGTTCAAATTCATAGAAAAATGGTTCTGTGTGGTGTTTGTAGTTTGCATAGCTTCAATGACAAGAAAATTTAATATTATTTAGAAAAGTTAGAAGAAACAGAAGTTCTCTATTGCAAAATCTATTGCTATTTGATGGTCATATTGTGTCCACAGTTATTGTCTGTTATTTCAATCCCGAGGTCTATCTAGTCCTCATACTCGAACCTTAAACTCTCAGGAATAACTCACAGTTCTGCCGCATGAGTCTTGAATCCAATGTAAACAATAATCACACAAAGTTCATTCCACATCTACCAGAGCGATGAATGTATTTAATGAAATGGTTTCTCAAGCGAACATCTTGGTGGTAAAAATAATACAATCTGATTTTCAGAGTCGTTTGATCCAGGTAGACTTGCATTCACTCAGGCTTTTGTTTAGGATGAGGCAAGAGACGGTTTCAGACTGTGGCACTCCATTCTTCGCCTGTCTTGCATGTGTAAAAAGATCACCCCATAATCCCTTGTGGTAGCCGGCTCCGTATGCAAATCTCACTACTGAGAGTGAAAGGTACTCAAGGTCACATGCAAATGTACGATGTAAACAAAACAAAGGTTACAATTAGCATGTAAGAGTACATGTATGAGGTCTTGGGAACTACACTTGGGTTTCATGTAGATAATCGCTTGATGGACTATCAATATGCAAACATTATGTGCGAAGGCTAATCAGAGGATTTATTTCCTGAGGAAAACTCAAAGGAACTGAAATTATTTAATGTTGATCGGGATATTATCTTGATGTTTTTATCGATGTGCCATTCAGTGTGTCGTGCATTTTGTTATGTAGCACGGGAAGGTGGCCTTGCGGCGAAGAATCTTGGCAAAATGGACAGAATTATTAGATCCATGGGAAAAATTAGGGGAGATAATGTTCTGGATTTTAAATCAATTTACGAGGTGGCAATGTTGGCAAAAACATTATTGCTTGATGATACACACCAACTTCGACCACTCTTAAACTTTATCAAGTCAGGAAGATTACGTCAACTGAAGC